TGTCCTCCGCTTCCGGTCTCCGCTCCAATTTCGAATCGACCGCTTTCAAATACAGGCAGTCTCGACTTCGATAACTTCGTTATCCATCCGGATAAGTTAAACGTTACACTTCTGACAACATCAAAGACCCTACGAGACATAATCGTCTAAAGTAACCACACAAGTGTACCACGCGTAATAATGTACAATCTCTGTAATCGTCGTTGCTATCAACTGCACATAACATTACGTAAAATTACATTAACTTTGAAATAGTTTTAAATCCACGAAAATTATCGGATCTCGTAATACTAATAGCAGAAGAAGAAGAGGGTTGTTTCGTAACGAGTAAAGGAGGCGAGCCATGTAACATGCATAAATATGAATATGTGTCTAGGATTGCTATATATCGTCTGCTCTATTTTCTGAATAGGATTCGAAGTAGATGTCGAGAACTTGTCACTCCGTGATTTATACATTTGTCTGCGCCGGAGGACGAGGTCGTTCTCCATTCCCCCTTTTCTGCCTTGTCCCTCTTGAGCCTGTCAGGTCGTACCAACCTCCAATACCAAAGAGCAGATAGGGGAAGGGAGGGAAGGTCTTTTTCGCTAGGTGGAAGAAGGGAGAGAGTAGCAGCCGAGAGAAAAAAAAAAAAGAAAAGGAGCAGCTATGTCCTACAAGAAGCTAGATTCCCAAGGATGGAAGCTACGAGCTAGCCTATCTAGCCAAGGTTAAACTCTAGAGCGGAAAGATTCGATCGTTGATTCGCTTCTCCTAGCCAAGTTCCGATGCTGAACGTTCAGTCTGGGTAGCTTATTGGAGCGGAACTTATTTTCAAAATTATGCAAAGTGTAATCAGAAGTTGATGCGCCTAACGGTACGATGAATCGATAAATCGCCTAGGTGGGTGTGAGTATGCAGGTGAAATAAATGCGGTGAAAAAGGAAGCGGCAAGGTACATGGTACGTTAAAAATACGAGCTAGAAGACGAGCAGACTCTGCTGGTAACAAGACCGCAAATGAGCTCTCGACAATGACGCAAGCACGAAAAGTGACACGTCTATTTTTTCTTCGGGCTATGTTCTAAAAAAAAAAAAAAAAAGAAAGGAGAATACTACTTGGAATTCTCGTTGGTTCTGTTCCTGTGTCGTTAAATCGTTTTTGCAGAACCGTTCGAGTAACACAACCAGAATCGAAGATCGTAAATGTCGACCGGTTTGCCAAAAGACACCACGTCGCTTTGCTAGATAAAATAAACGTCTATTGTGAATACACTCTTTGATTCGTAATTACCAATGGTTGCAACATTCTCAAACGTGTAGGCATCTCGTCCTTTCTATAATTAACACGAGCTACAGAGGCGAGACAAAAACCAGCGGTGTCGCCAATGCTCTTATTAACAATGTAACCTGTGATTTCATGGAAATAAGCGATAAATCGTGGCAACTATTCCGTTCTATTGTTGCAGGTTGCTCGAGCAAGCTTCACCCCTCTATAGACAGGCTCGTTCGAATGAAACGCGGACTTGAAAAGCGAGAGGAGAGAAGGAAGTCCGTGGAGAACCCGTATAAGAGGGTTGCGCTCGGTGGTTGGACCCGCTCGTTAGTATCAGCTGTGGTCTGTCCGCTTAAAAATAACCTCTTCCTAGCCGGGGCTAGGTACAATCGCTAAATTAACGTCGGCAGCGACGCCCTTCGCGTCATGGAAGCTATCTACAGGCTTTAAATACCCGTGCTGGAACTATTACGGATTCCTCGGGTTCCAGAAACGTTTCGACGTTGACGTTCACGCGCTCGCGAGAGATAGCGATTTACGAAACGGACCATGATGAACGCGGTATCGAAACGAGGTAACTAGGATGTTGCGATAGTTCGAGTTGACTGGAGGAAACATGTAATAGCGTAGATGTTTCTATCGGTTACTAAATATCACTGGTGAGAATCGTTCAACTCGTACGTAACACCGATATCCGCCGTAATCAGTTAATGCGCTAGCTTCGTTGAGCTACTTGACCAAGCAACCTATGATAATAATCAGGCAAACCTTACGGTACGCACCGTCTATGTAGGCCACTTTAAACTGGCCCGATTGCTTTCACAATTTACGAGGTATGTATGTGATTTATTAATCGTTACGCCGAAATACACTTCCAAGCTAACAACGGAACTGGAACAACCTTTTGATTATCCGGCTCGAATCATCCCTAACCAGGTCCAAGAACAACAGACGACGCGATGCTGTGCAGTTTCTTACATCAACAACGATACATATATATAGACACCATTAGGCATAAGATACTTCCTTTTCTGCTCTTCTTCATTATTCCACGTATGATATATTTACGCATACACACACACGCGCGAGGTGTGTTGAAAAGTCTGCTCATGGTATTCCATGGAGAGAAAAAGAGATTGTTTTTCTCTACCTTGCCTGAGAATCAGAGAAAATAAAGGAAGGGGGTAGACAATAAGGTGGAGACTTACCTGAACATCAAAGTGAGTGGTGGTGTCTTGCGGCTGTGGAGGTCCCTGCTGTTGTTGTTGTTGCTGCGAGGGAGGAGGACCCTGTGGGGGTGGCGGAGCTTGTGCACCAAAGAGCTGCGCCGCGTGAGAGTGTGGATGTTGAAGATGATGGGTCGGCGGTGCTTGATGATGTTGTAAATGATGCGGAGGAGCCGGTGCAAACGCTGCCATGAAATGCTCCTCGCTGCCGACCACATCCACACCTGGTTTCAGCAACACAACACCACCACCGCCGGCGCTAACAGCCAGGGTTGCTGCTGCATTCTTCTGAAATTCTTCTTCGCCGGGAGAGGGTTGGCGACTGCCTGGTGTGCGACTGTGAACGGGGGAAAAGAACGAAAATTGTTGAAGGTTATTCGTACGGTGGATGTAATTATGGTTGAAGAACGATTGGGGATAATTGTAACCAGATTACAATCAACGATTAATGGCATTACAGACGGTTGAGTAAAGAGGAAATAAAGGTGAAGAGATTACGCAACTGCTGCTTCAGGCGGAATCGAATTCTTTTCATCTGTTCACGCTCTATTTCACGCATTTCGCTGATTCATACCGATTGAAAGCGGCTTACAGTACCGTCGTGAAACGGTACAATGGGCGTTCGATGAAGATAAACGAAAACACGGGATGTGCCTCGGTGAATGCGCTTCGCGAAAACAGAGGGTGCGTAAATCATCCGCGAATCGACGTGTTACGTACGCATGAGAAGGAAATCTTCGCAAGATGTACCGATTTATAAATTTTTATTTGCACAATCGTGGGAAATTTGAAAATTCGAATTTGATTGGCCATCGAAAATTAAAAAATTTGAATTTGAATAGCCGTAGATTTAAAAATTTGAAAATTTCAAGTTAAATTCGATAGACGATATAAAACTTGATCGGCTCGAATGTTTCGCGAAAATCTCCGGCTGAGATTTGAACGGCAGAAAGCGATCGGGCAACGCCACGAACAGACCGGCGTTCTTATTTTCTATATAAAGAAAGTGACGTAGCTTTCCTTGGCCATTATAACATGACAGTCGTAAATGTCATGAACCTGATTCTATGCGGCGTGCGTATAGAATTCCCCGAGTAAAAAGGTTCCAATTCACACATTCACCCGGCTATTATTTCTTCCCATTAGCTACTATACACGCGTGTGCAATTGCTAACGCGATTACAATAACTTTAGATAAAGATAGCAATAACAATTAGAAAGTTGCAGTTCTCTTGGCGCCAGTGGATATCGGTTAAAAAAAAAATTAGGTTGCAATTACGTTAATGTCTACGCTTTACGGTGGATATCCGTTATTGGAGTCATCTAAACGCTAGCCGATATATACATCGTGAATGATATCGTCTGAAAAATTCGTCTAAACCTGTCGTGCAAGATTCCAAGGATACGAGATTAGCAACGCAGCATAACGGTACATTTTGCATAACGACAACGTAATAAAATGCAACGCTCAAGTTAAGAGGCCTGTACCTTTGGTCTAGGAAAAAAGGGAAGTACGTCTAGACCGTGACGATCGACAATGATGAGCAAACATCATTAGCATAATGAAATTCTTAAGCATTGACTGCGAGTCTACTGTGCTAGTTGTAATGTTTCTTTCCGCTTTATTTACCGCGTTTATTAACCCAGTTCCTCTTAACCTTCGATTACCATAAATACAGCCGTGAAGTGTAATAACAGAATCAGACTAAATACCCAACGTTATCGTAATAACATGTCTTTCTTTTACATACGTAATTAAATTAACAATTTAAACGAATGGGAAATATTGTAATTTCGATCGTATATACAGGTGACAAATACTGTTGATATTTACACGAAGGAGGAAACCGCAGAGATACGAGCGTGTGTATGACAACAACGGATGTCGGTAACATCGCGCGGAAAATGAAGAACAAGAGGTACACCAGATGGCGTACAGCGATGGTGCAACAAGCGTCGAAGAAGCAAGCTTATGATGTCATCGTCCGCCGAGTAGAGCATGCACGCCCTTGACAGTTAGCACTATTACGTTCCTCGATCGCGCTTCTCGCAGCAATGACAATTGTTCATGAACAACATGTGACACATTTACCGTCGTTCAATTGGAAGCAATTATATATAGCCAGACAGTTTTTCCTTACGAGCCATTTACGCTAAATCTGCATTTCTTACAGATTCAGATTCGTAAACGGTAACAATACTACGTTTTTTCGATTCTCGATATCTTTGTACCTCTCTGCAGCAGCTTTCGTACGATACAATGGTTGTTTTTCGCTCGCAGGAATATTCTGATACTCACTTAAACCCTTTGTCATCATCGAGACCATTCTGGGACGCTAATCCGTTGTTTTGTGGACCAGTATCGTCTTTAGAACTGTCAAAAGGACTTGCCGAGCCCTTCTCTTTTTCTTTCTTATCTGCATCGGTGTTCTGCGTGAAAAAATGAAAAGAATCCTTAATACGGTCGTTGAATTTACTCTGTTCAGTTCGATATTTAACTCCAACGTATATACTTACCAATCTCAAAGAAACCATTCGGGGTTCCAAATCTTTGGGTGTCGTAGGACTTGATCCAAGAACGTATTCCACCATTTTAACACCCAGACCACCTGTTTCACTGTAAAAAAAAAAAAAAACGATAATTTAATTACTCGAAGAATTAAACAATACGTGTTTAATTTTTTTTCTTTTCCAAACGGCATGCTAACCTGCTTCTAGGGCTAAGGACCGTTCCAACTTCCGATGTTTGATGATGGTATCCAGTCCCGACACCCACGCGTCTACCTGTGCCCATGGAAATCGGTTGTGAGACGGCATGATCTGAAATGCACAAGAAAATCACCGTGTCACATTAATGCATATAATATCTGTAAATTACTGGCAATGCTCATAAGTCAGGCAGGTATTCAATATTCATCTACCCTTTCCCAAAACCTATCATTAAACCATCTGTATCCTTCGACTGGAACGCCGCCCCTCCTTAATTCCCTATTTATCACGAAATAACTACCTTTCTACGTTTCAAACAAAACCCCAACGACTCGAATAGGAAACGCGAACAATATATCTTGAAACCGTATCGTGTTCGTGTCGCATCAACCGGTGATCGATAAAAGGCGTGGGGGGCGAGAGAAACCCGCAAAGGTGTAACGCAAATTCTATCATAAAAATCCTCAACAACCCTCTCCACCTGTGCTACCGGCTATTCCAGAGACGCACGATTTTCTTCCAAAGAGAATCTACTCGGCGATCGTGTAGGAAAAAACCTAATTCGAAATATTTCAAGGAGAAAAAGATTCTCGAAAAGATGCCAACAGCCACCAGAGGCTGTACCGAATTTTACGATTCCATATGACGCAATTTGCTCGAGTCCAGGTGGATATATACGTGTGTGTGTGTGTGTGTGTAGGGGGTTGGTGTGTGCGGTGGCGCTCAGGGTGGATCAGTAGGTACGACCCTGGGCATTGGGACGTTGCCCCCACCGCCGCCTGATGCCGGGCGTCTGTCGCCATGGCAACAGCCGCGTTGCACCCATCGAGGTGACGCACACATGCAAACTCAGGCGGCGTGCACATGGAAGCCGGTACATGCCGTCGCGAGAATCAGGTGTTTCGTGCATACACTGCACAACACCGCCGCGGTACCATCGCCCTCGCGCAACAACCCCGTACGACTCTCTCCGTGGCTCCTCGTTTAATCACAAACAACCTCGCGACCTTTCCGACTATTCTCTTACAACACCCTACCGATTACCGTTTGCCGAATCAATCGTCCAATCGACGAGCAAGTTTCCTTCGAATTTCTCGCGAAATTATTTCGGAAAAATTTATCGAACATCGACATAACCTCTTTCTTATCACGATGCATTTAAAATTACGACGTAAAATACGTACGAGCGAATGTTTTTAGGGATAAAAAGCGAGATGCACAGAGAGAGTAGGTTATTTTTATGAAAAGCTAACCTAAAAAAAAAAGTGGACTCGTCTGAAAGTTTAAAAGGCGAGTTTCGAGGTGAAGGGATAGTAAAGTTGGTACCTCGAAAATACCAGAAGCAGCAGGGTTGGTGTATCGATTGATCGCGAAAGCAAGGGGAGCCAGACTTTGCGGATTTCCTTGGTTTTCGTAAAAGCAAATAAGCTAAAGATGGATAGAGAAGGAGTAGGAGAGAAAGGGAGAGAGAGAGAGAGATCTGTTTTGGTAGAGTATCGATTATTGACATTCCGCTCGAAGCTGTGGAGACACAAGTATTTCTACTTTGGTCTCACTCACCGTGTGTATATGTGTGTGTGTATATATATATTGTTCTTTCGGCGCTGTACCAATCAATAAGCGCGCAACGACGTAAAACACACGGTGTGTGGTGGCATCGTACGTATCTCGCCTGCCTTCCACCATGGTGGAGCGTGACGTTTAAGCTATACCAGCCGTAAACTTCGACTTTTTATATGATTCACCTTTCTCTCTAATTTTATCAGGCCGAAAGCCGCGTATCGAGCGTTCAGGGAATTCTACGTCAGCCAAACCAAGGACCTTCGACGATCGTCCACTGTCTGCAGATGTAACATGTTGTGTACGCGATGGAAAAAGGACGCGTCGCTCCAATCAGAATTTGCCTTAATACTTCGATAATATGCCTAGTCACGCTCGAGAGAACAATCAAAACGATTTGCATAAAAGCGAATATATCAATTTCTATTAATCCTGCGTGAAACGAAGTTCTTTGTTTCTTTTTCTTTCTTCCGAAGAAAAAACTTGACACTAACTATCGTCATGCTTGACAGCCGTGATAAATGATTCTTGTCTCGACTTTTTATAAGTGTGAGTGCGTTTTTTTTCCCTAGCAATTATTCCAGTACCGGTGGAACTAAAGAAACTGATTCAATAACGTAATTGTTCTCCGTTAACCACGGTCAAGCGATCGAACACCGGTTTAATAAGACTGCTATCGATATATTACTTCGAGAAAGTGACAGAAAGGCGTAAATCATCGCAGGACTCCCCGTTCAAACGGGAAACTTTCGCGAAGAAAGAAGTAGGTGTACTAGAAATCGCGATAACAGTTTCACGAGTGTGCAAGGCAAACGTGCCTCTTTATCGACGATACGAAGCTTTCCTTCGAGAAGAAATTAACGCCGACTGGTGCAGAAAGGCTTACCCTTAAGATTACGTAACGATCAGCGACGAGTGGCGTCGAGTGAACGCATATCGATCAGAGTCCCCGCTTCAATTCGCATCACTGAAAAGAACGTAGGTACGAGCCAGGATATTTCCAAGGATTCAAACAGACTCTACACCTTCGCTTAAATCGTCTTAAGTGGATGAAAACAACAATGCATTAACAACGGTCGATAGAATTAACGAGGAACGTAACAAAAGGATCGTTGGACTCTATTTGGAAAGAGAGAAAAGGCCTGTACAAATTGGTCAGGCATTAACGGCCGCCATCCATGAATTATCGATCACGATTAACCCCATTCGCGGCTAATCCCTGTCTCGAAACCCTATTCCAAATATTCTCAACCCTATTGTCCTTGATACGTGTCAGTACGCTCGATAACACGCGGTTAATGTGTACACTGTACGCTTCGGTCAACGAGCCCTGGCGTTTCATTGAAAGTACTCGAAATAAGGGTAACAGAGGGAGTGAGAGAGGAAAATCTGTAAACAGAAACAGGTATGTAGATTCTGTGCGTTAAGGGATTTTCTTAGGTGAAATGTACGGGAAAAGTGGATTTGAAGAGAGGATATAAAGGTAAGGTATTCCTACCTGATGTGCTCCAGGTAGAATCTCGCCACATCTGGTGGTCGCCCAGGTGAAGTATCCCACCGCCTTTTACACCCCCTTCGTCCTTGGAGCCGCCCTCGTCCACGCCCCAGAGCTTTTTTGCCGAGGGAGCGATCTGAAACAATATGAGAAAACGGGTCGTAAGTCCACAGGGTCAGTGAACACATTTCCAGAGCTGGGCCGCGTGTGCTGACACCAAACTACTCCCAAGAGCTCGTGTGTGCAGCGAAAGATACCAGTGATCGTATTAATTACACTAACGAACTAGGAGATCCGCTTAAAATTAGCGTATCTAACGCTGCACAGTGATCTACCAGTCTGATAGGCTACGTTTAAATGAAACTAACACAATAGATACCTTTCTCACGTCTCTTTGTCGGTAATACGACAGCCATTTTAGTAACTCGCCGACCCACCGAAAGTTTCATACCACTGTGCGTCACAGAACACACGGATATTTGTAGAAAAAGCTTGGAAACTTTAAGAATTCTTCATAGGAAACGAAGTGAATTGCTGCTAACCGTTCGACTGGCAAAGGTACATTCGACGTCGACAAGTGTCACCACATCGGGTCACGAAGTGTAAATTTTGTTTCTTACAATCTGTCTATTTTTGTCAATTGAGTGAAAATGTGGAAAACAACATTTTTCGACCTGAAACGAAAGTCAGATTTCCGCAACAACCGGAGGCACTCGAACGGTTAATTCGAGATCACGAAAAAATCGGCAGGTAGCTCGAAACTTTCGCCTGATAAGTGTACATCGAGGTGTAAGTTTTCGTCTAGGCTAGTTTTCAACTGGCAAAGTTATCGACACGATTTGTTCCGGTGGACGGGAAGTGAGTGGGCCGATCACGAGCAAGTTTGGCGCGAAAAGACGCGAATCGGAAACAGAAGGCAAGCGGGAACGTTCCGTGGTGACCTGAACTCTGCTGCACTGTTCCCGACCTCACCTAACTGGAGGTCAGTGACGTAACCAGCCGCGGTGGGGATGGAGGGAAGAGCCGTCCGCAGATTGCGGGATCCTAGATGCAGGTATAACCGGCACGTGCGACGGTGACAGTGCAGCCCAAGTGTGCAGGCCCTCTCGATGCACATTTTCGTCCGCATCGTCGCCTGGCCATGGATCGTTAAACGGAACAGCGGAACCCCCGGCTGCTCCTTTCACCCCTGCTTCTTCTTTTCCAGTCTTTTCTTTTCATCGAGTGCTATTCAACGATGAAACGACTCGATTGCACGGAATTTCGATAAACGTTTCAAATCGAGCGCGTTCCAATTAATGGATTACGCGGCGATCAACTCGTTAACCTCTCCCACCTTTCTTCGTTTTTACAACACAGGATCTGAATTTAAGCGAGAAGATTCTTTCGCGATACTCGGTTGTGAAATTAACTTTGCGAGGAGTCTTCGAGAGGAGACTGAGCAGTGACGGTAACCCTTTTAATCCCGTGTGCGGAGAATCCTTGGTGGTATCGATGTAGTTATGGGAAATTTCTAGCTACTGTGGAAATCTCGAAAAATTTAGAGACCAGAAATTTTTTAATCAAATTTTACATATTTTTGTTTTCCTTGTGGAAACAAGAGGGTTAATTGCTTATCACTTGGTAATCACTATGAGCCTTCGTAAATTTCAGAGTTCCGTATGTTAGAGGTCTAAGCAATGGAACAGTTCGAAAGGACCAACCTCTAACAACCAGTTACAAGCTTTTGAATAACATAAAAATATATTAAATACTACGTTAGTTTTAAAAAATGTCATCAATTTTATTTAACAAACAATCTCCGATTTGCTACTTTCCTACAGGAAAAACATCTTCCAGTGCAAAGAGTTAAATCTCAGACTCTAGAGTCTTTCAGATTCAGATTTCAGAATCTCTGAATTCAGAAATTCAGTTCGAGTGATTTTCGCAGGTTTCAAAGTTCTGCAGAAACTCGTTCAACTGTACTTTCAGACATTTAGAGGTTCGATATTTGCAATTATCTCGCGATACAGTGTGACTGGATGTTATCAAAGATCGTGTACAGCAACGATACCGCACAGGACGATTTCACTGAAAACCGTAAATGGGTGCAGAACCGCCTGTTTTCGATACCCGGTGAATTAGTTTCTGGTGCATACGGTGTTTCGTAAAACGATATCGAGGGATCGAGTGTGCATACGCAACACGAGATTACCGCATCGCGACACTTCCATCGAACAATTTCGCACTTCGTGAGATTATTTAATCGGGGTTCTCTACTCTCTGTGTATCTCCATTCAGCGGATATTGGAGGAAATGTGCAAAGAAAACTAGTGGGAAATTTTTTGTTCGCGTTCTAGTACGAAGTAGGAGGTATTTATATATTATCGATCATGCGGACAATATCGCGTACAATAGCACGTGCGTCATGGCACAGTAGTGTATAAACGGTGCATCAACCACGAAATATCAAGCGACGCTGTTTATCGCCTGTGGTGAACGCGTTAATTATATCCAACCACCGTGGGAAAAAAAAGAAGGAAAGAAAAAGGTGAACGTATATTCTTTGCGACGAATTAGTCTCGTTTGTCGTTTCCACACGGAAAAGAATAAAAAGAAAGAACGTTTCGTACGTCATTCGGTGAACGAAATATCTATGAGAAAGTTTACGACGTCCCTGATAAAATTCTAAACCCCGATTCATAGCGAGGCTCTCGTACGTCTTTTCACCTAGATCGACAAATCGGCCGATAAAGGGGAACAGAAAAAAATCGAACGGGTTTAGAAACCGGTTAGAAATCCCACGGGAGAAAACATCGACCGAGGGAGCGGTTGGCCAGCCTGGAAAGCGAATCTTCGTTTGCATCATCCTATGGCACATTTCTTTTTTTTTTTCTTCACAGCCACCATTTTGCTTAAACCTTCGTGCACCGAGTATTACGTACAATATCATTGGAATATTTTATTTAAATTAAGTCGTATGAAAATTACATTCATTGTCTACACCTGGTGTTTTTTCTTTTTTTTTTTTTTAAGGTATACGAGTTCGTCGTTGTGAAAGGATTAAAGGAACTAACAGCAATGAAAGTTAACCGTACGTATTGTAATCATTTTTCCAGTTTCAGTCACCAGACCAAATATCATTTCATTTTTTCTAGTTATAAAGTTTAGGGGAATTTCAAGTACACGTTACTGAGAATATCAGTAATCGAGGAGCCAAAGTGACCAACTCCGTAAAATAAAATTTATTAAATGTCTTTTATTTGTGAAATGAATATCTTTTATTTACGAAAAACTAAGCGCCAAGCATGCGCTTTGAAAATGGAAGAATATCAAAAAATGAGGTTAACCATTTCGACTTCTGAGTGGCTCACATGTGACTCCATTGCACACACTACAAGAGGGACATTTAAAATACCCTAGAAACAATCTCCATTCGTACACTGCTATCGACGACGTTCGATCAGAAGTTGTACTAAAGCTATCCATTCGATTTCTGAAATTGCGCGACACGTGCCATCGCAACGTCGATATCGTGGATTTACCAACTGTTTCTCGATACGCGGAGGCTTATACGTGTTGAAGACGTGCTTCGAACCAGCTGGTTACACGGGTGATTCCCAACGTCTGCATTGCGCGTCATATGATCGAATGAAGAATTTGTGAAGGCGCGCACACAACGCAGAAACGAGTGTGTGAAACGGTGAACGGGGGGGGATCACGTCTAAAGGTTCGGTAAGGTAAGGGTAAGAGTAAGGGTAAGGCTCGGTCAACCGGGGGCGATACGCCGTGAGTATCGACCGCGTCGCCGGCCGGCGGAGACGCTTTTGCACGTTAAGCACGGCTACGGGGAGAAAGAGACGAGAAGAGGTCGAAAAGCGAACGAACGGGAGAGAGGAAGACCCGTCACGAATTTTCCCGTCCCTCCAACACCCTCGAGGAACCACCACCGATAGAAACTCCATTTTCTATATACACAGGAAATCTTGATACAATCACAAGACCGCGTGCAGATGCTCTGATATAGAAATATAGAAAATTATAACTTCCCCCTTCTTGATTAATTCTGTTCGTTAAAACGGTAGTATTCGCTCTGTCCCGTGGAACCGGTCAGCGAAAACTTTTGCGTGTTCAGCGAAGACAGTGAAGAAGAGAGAGAGAGAGAGAGAGAGAGAGAGAGAGAGAGAGAGAATAAAAAAAGCGAAGGAGAAAGAAGTTCAAGCGACGTGATTCGCTAGACAAGGAGACGATATCGTTCTATCCATTCGAACCGGCCAGCAGCAGAAGCAGAAGCACTTTTGCACGTTGGCCGCAACTATGATTCACAAGAGGGAAAAGGAGCGAAGAGCAAGCGAAAAACGAGGGTGAGAGAGAAGAAGAGACAGAGAGAGAAAGAGGTATACAGAGAGGAAGGAACAAGAGAGAAGAGGGAAAAAAAAAGGAGAAACAGAGAATGAGACGAGACGAAAGAGTACTGGATCTCTCTTTCATTGAACAAAGCCAACGATAGCTCCGCTGTACCCCTAAGCCGC